TTTAGTTCCACTCCAGCTTCAGTCGGCTTTAGTCAGAAAGAACTCACTCTCGTAATCGCTGCGGCAATAAAAACAAGCCAAGTAGCAAACTGCTGGCAAGAGTCAAAGAAGGAGAAGACCACATAAAATATTATCGAAATCGTCATATTTGGGTGTCCGTGTGTGTGAGTGTGTGTGTGGCAACCCTGGCATAGACTGTCAGCCACTGACTCGCACATAAAAACTACATAAACAAATAAATCGTCATATGTAACAATGGTCTATTAGGGCAACTACAAGCCACAGTAATAAGACAACAAAAGAAACAAGTGAGAATCTGACAGTTGGGCATAACCAACTGAGAAATACTCTGATACCAGTTATAACTCTAAGCTCGAAGACTATGCGAGTTATATGCTCAAGCAATTTGTGTGGGCAGAAGTGGGCGTGAATCGTTTTACCTATCATCGGGGAAGATTATTATAATTCTAGCTATAAAACTGTGGAATATATATGATCTTGAGCAATTCTTTGAGGCGGGGTATGCGTATCGAAAAAATGTAGCTACCAATCTTTGAAGGTGGTTCTTAGTAATTTACCTTGAGAGTTTGGTAAAATTGTGGGAGATACGCGCTGTTAGATATAGAGGAAGTAGCCGTGGTCATTCAATTTGTACTTCTGATTTTAGAGATATACGAATTTCCAGCATAAACTAATAAATGAACAACATTTCAAGTCTCCAGCATAAGAAAATCGTGTCAAAACTAATATACCCATCCATCTAAGCCGACAGAGCATAAAAGAAAGCTCAAAGCCACATGGAAATACATTCGTTTTGTGTCGAGTTTGGCAAGAAAAACGTTTACATACGGGCATTATGAGCCAAATTACTAAGCTTGATTTGAATCAAGGCTTAAATGTACCGCCAACGACGAATTACACCAGCAACAAAAATTGGTATTAAATTTGTACGCACAAGCAAACACTCATAGAGAGAGAGAGAGAGAGAGAGAGAGAGAGAGAGAGAGAGAGAGAGAGACAACAGTGCCGCACAAAAAGCAACCACTCAGCACAGAAGGCATTCATCAGAATGTGTCAATTTCAAATTTTCAAAGTTGCTATTGCGTTATTTTTTGAATAGTTATTTCTACAGTTTGTTTTTGTTGCAGCTCTTTTTGGGCGACAGACTCACAAAGCTTGAAAGCCATTTAGTAGTTTTTTATGTGATTGATGTTCTGGAAAAGGATTTAAACTAGATTTCGACATGAGTGTAAATAAATTACGTTTTTATTTAAATTAAAACAAGACTAAAGATTGAGCTACAATTGAAAAATATAATTCCGAAAAGGTTTATTGTCTGAATATCATTTTTTATGTTAATCTGTTTATTCCACTTACTTAATTAAGAGAATTGTCCAATTTGGGTATAAAAATAATGAATTTTGCTGCAAGTTTATAAAGTATACATGTATTTTTGATCAGCATCGAAAAGACTAGTTGATGTCCGTCTCCCTGTCAGTTTGTTTGAGAAGCCGTGCTCTCATTTACCATACTTTGACCTAGTTTATTTCATTTCATTATCGGTCATTTTCTCCGTTTTCTAAATTTAGTTAAAAATCCATCAATGATGGAAATGATAACTAAAATTTTAACCATATATCTTTCTTGTCATCAGTAAAAAATTATAGCAATACAAACATTGTGGGGTATTTCCTAGTCGAGCTCTGGCGACAGAATCACTCTTACCTTGCCAAAAAGTATAAATAAAAGCTATGCAAACAATTTAACTGCTTTGTGGATGAAAGCAAACTTTAATTTTTGTTTTTAGCTTTTGTGTTTTGTGTTTTTTGGCAGTAAGTGTTAAAAAATGTATTCCATTACTTTTGGCAAAAGCTTTTGGCGGTTTAAAAAGTGCCAGGCAACAATGCAGTTAATTTGGGGGCATAGGTATTTAAATTGTTGGCACAAACACAAACACAAAGCACAAAAAACCAAAGCAGTGAAAGGTAGAAAAAAAAATGTGTTGCATGCCACGCACAGATATTTGTGAGCCAATAAAAAGTTGCATCATTGAGCGAACGGAAATGGAAAAGGGCAACAGAAATAACAACAGCAGCAGCAATTGCAACAGGATTCAAATATTTTGACAATATTTGCAAAGGCTGATGTGCAGACAGGATAAGCGCCAAATCGATGAGAGGAGCATGTTGCAAATGGAGAGAGAGGGCAGAGAGGAGGGAGAGGAGACAGTTGCAACTTTTCCCTTTCATTCATTATTAAATTCGCTTTTACGTGCGGTGAAAGTTGCCTTTTGAGACTTTCGCACAACAGTGCGTTTCTATAGAGCGCTCTAAGTTAGCAGTTAGTTGGCTTAACTAAGTTTACACACTCTTACACTCTTACACACTTACACACACACAATGGAGGCTCAGAATGCAAATTCCCCTGCGAACCAAAATTTGATTATAATCAACCGTTCGAAGTGACAGATATGAATTTATATGCGTGGTTGTTCTTTATTTATGGCACATGTATCTAATATATATGCAAACTGATGTATCTATATATAAATACATTTATCTATGCATGTCCAGATTGCGTTTATTACTAAACTAAACACTAATTGCAATTAGCTTGCTGTGATCAAATAACTATGGTCTATATTATTATTTCTGTAACTGTTTGATAATCAAAAATAATTAAATTCATTGATTATATCAAAAACTATTTTAAAGAATTTTTTCAGTAATTGAAATTAGTTATTTCGAAATCTTATTAATATTAACTCAAATCATCAAAATGACAGTTCTTATTGAACACATGTTTTAATGAATATGCAAACCAAACTCATTCAATTTGGGTGTTCTTCTTAGTTGGACAAAAAATCATTTGCGTTGGTTTTTAAGTTTATAGTGAAATTTAGATGTCTGCAGGTGAATATATTTTTTACTTGTTAGAAATAGAGCTAGATACTCTTTACCAATACATCTGGCTAATAAGCTGATTTGAAGTATATTATTCATCATTATAGTTAGAGTCTCTGCACTATGACCATTCAGATATATTTCTTATAAATGATTTATGGTCCTAGGTTCTGCCATAATTTCATGTTTATTCCTGTTCTTAGATTCATTTCATTTCTCTAAATCTTCTTATGGCTGGGGTCTGGAGTCTCGAGACTCTCAATTCGAAGTCGACACGTGGCGTCCTCGACAGCCTTTAATGTCCCTTAAACGAAATCTGTGATTATCCCTACGTTTCTTCATACATATATTACATACATACATTTCCTCTTTAATAAATGATCTACAAGTCAATGCTGCACTGCGACTGCCCCCAGCTGAAAAGTGGAATCCTTGAACTGCAGCGCTTTAACCGATTCTTTTGCCTGTCAATATTGAGTAGTTGCTGCTGCTGCTTCCGTTTACAGCTTGGACATGGCCATAAAGTTTGTTGCCGTATCGTGACTTGGCTGTTCGTTCTTAGCTCATCTCCCAGGACACGGCATCTGAGTATCTGAGTGGTATCTGAGCACGCGCCTACAATTCAATTAATGGACATTCAAATGATATAAACCTGCTGAGGCATTTTTAGTGCTCAGAGAGAGGACAACGTTCAGTTTCATTAGCAGGCACTGTAACTCCGCTTGAGGTAATGTCAGCAAGCATTTCACTATCACTAACCAACCCACCTCACCTGGCCATCCCTTAACTTAAACGCTAAACACGTGTCCTGTACCCACAAAACAAAAAATAGAACAAAAAAAAAAAATAACAACAACAGGTGCAAAAAGCAAACAAAAAACAGAGAGAGACAGAGAGAGAGAGAGAGAGAGAGACAGAAAAAAGTTGTGCTTGGTAATACACAACTTAGAATCCCTGGCAACCGGAATCGAGTTGCCACGGACAACACGGCAGGCAACAACAAATTGGTTATTTGCTTTGTATCGGGCCAAAAGTGAAAGAGGCCACAGTGTGAAAACTGAAAGTGCAGCGGGAGCTCAGTTTAAATAAATACCGAATCAATTAATATTTATGTAAAACTAATATTAATATATATCAATAAAATGAGTCAGCGCACAAAATTCATAATAAACACATCCGGTAAACTTTGTTAAATATATTCATTTAAATTGGCAGTGTTTTTCCTTGTTTTTTTCACTTGTGTGTATTGAAAGTGAAATGCCAAAGTTAACAGAAGTTAACCAAAAGGAAAACATATTTATTTATATACGTAGTATAATAAAAAAAGTAAGAAAGCTCTGGCTGAGAGTGCTCGACTAGCAGATACCCTGTACCCAGTACCCCGTTAGGAGCTGGAATGCGGCACCAGACTAGATCACAGACAGAGACTAATGACTCTTGCTATAAGCAGCTATAAAACAAAACAATTTAAGCAAGCAATATTTATCTGGAAAATATACTTTGAACACTCACCATTCTCTTTTACAGGACATAGTCGGTCAAGAAGTCACCCAACTAAACTAGATATAGTCCGTAGCGGAATCTGGCGATTTTGTGACATTGAGGAAGAATCCTACAGAAGATGTAGTATCTTGGGGAATATGTTACCTACTCAAAAGATATCGAAACCCTCAACTTGACAAAGATTATTGGACTTATTGAAGAATTTTCAGAAGATTTTTTTATAATCGTGATTCTTATTGCTATCGCTAATCGAGTTTTATATGATAATAGTTATCGATAAAACATAATTAAGTTGAAGTTTGAAGTTAGATTTAATAATTTCGGAGATCATATCGCTCATAGAGACGGACATGACCTGATATACTCGGTTATTAATGCTGATCAAGAATACATATTTATCTTATTGCCTTTGGCACAACTGCATTATACGACTTTTAAGCATTTTCATGTTCAGGTTATAAAAATCTATCGAGCCACAAAACACATTTTTACAACACACAAAAAACTATAAAAATTCTACCATTTATCTCTCGCTCTTCCCTCTCTCTCTCTCTCTCCCGCTTTCTCTCTCTCTCTCTCTCTGTCTGCACTCAGTTGAGTATTTTGGCGGACGCATTCCGAGCACGGAGCTGGATGAGCAAACAGCGACTATATTGGAGTTTGTGGAGCAGGAGGAGCACACTGTTATCTCGGCCGTGCATAATAAATCGGATGGCAAAATCAAATTTCAGCATCGCATACCCAACGACGAAGTCTGTTTACTCTTCTACAAGGTGCCTCAGGTGGGACAGGGTGCAGCCGGTGCTGGCGGAGGCGGAGGGGGGGCAGTTGAGCCACTGTTGGGCATATTAACACTGGAGGGTGGCCTGGTTAAATCCATTTACAATTCCGTTTCACGTGTCTTTTCGCCCCATGCCAACACGGCTCGAGTAAGTTTCAAGTGTATATATGTATGTGTGTGTGTGTACTGTATGCAACATACACAAATATTTGATTCGTATTCGTTGTTGTAGTTGTCGTTGTAGCTTATACGGTAATTCCAGTTGAGCTTAAATTATTTTGCTGTTTGCACACAGTGCTGTCAATTGCAATTTGTTTCCTGCTAAAACTAGCTAGTTAGCTGATAATACTTGGCTCTTTTGTGCGTCCAGCTAACAAGGTACGAAAAATAACAAAAAAAAAAAGGAGAAACATTTTAGCATAATTTATTAATATGATATACAGTACATTTGTTATGTATATATTTTAATTTAATTTTACTAGCAGTAGATATCTATCACAACATCAACTAAGCAGAGAGCCTTAACTTTTTCCCTCTAAATGTAGCTATTTTGTGTTCAAATGTGGCCAGCACTGATTGCACTCGGCCATATTCATCTTCGCCACCTGCAAGCAGCAAGCAGCATTTTAATCGCATTTGCACATAACTCGATTCTTTTCTGCAATTTCATTTTGTCAATTATATTTACTTGCCAGCGGATGCAATTTGTTTTCTCAATATTATTTTTACAGCGTGTATCTCGCAAATTCTTTCGTTTAAGCGCAACGAATACAGTCCCGAGCTGAGCGGAATTCTCGAGAATCTGCATGTCTCGCTGGGCTCCACGCTGGGTCTGCCACAGAGCGGTAAGTGAACATTGCTCAAAACCATAATAATCAATGCATAATTCCAATAAGAACATACGCTAGTCGATTACCAAACTTATCGCTTAGCTTCTTACTCAAAAAGGTAGATCATTTGGAGGAGCTGCTTGTTAACATGAAGTGTTCCCACTGCTTCAGTTCCAAGCAATGCTTAACATTTTAGCAAAACAAAAGTCGCATAAGAGTCAAAATCAAAGTGAAGATAACTTTTACTAACCTAACTAAGTTAAATTATCAATTTAAGCACTTATATATGCAATGCAAATTCGTTGACTTGGCAAATGCTGCTCAGTGGCAACATGATCATTTCAACACATAAATGCACACGGTCACACTGATTGCAGTTAATAACGGTAGTTGCTCATTTTTGTCAGCTTGCAATTTTATTGAGTGCAAATTGCGATTTTGCAGGTATAACAAGCATAAAAGATGAAATTAAATATTGGAAACAGAAACTGGGCCAAAAGGCAAGTTCACGACTTGATCGCGAAATGGCGCAAGTGTTTATTGGCGTGCTGGAGAATATTGAGCAAAAAATTAAGTAAGTTGAATTTCTATATACATACATATATGCATGTTGTGTTTATATGTGAATCTATGTACACACCTGGACAGTAAAATATACACAGCTGGTAGTGATTTGGTGCATTTAATATTATTTGACACCTCAGTTAAGGCTTTCTTGTAATAAATAATTTCAAATCATAGTTTTGGCAAATAAAATCAATAAGGAAATTAAACTTTTCTTAATATGAAACTCGCATTAATTCACAATTGTCTTCGAAAGTATTTTAATGTCCAGATGTGTATGAGTGTATTTACATATCATATTACATATTTATGTTGCTTTTATTTTATCTTATTTTTATTAATATAGCACCATTGATAGTGGCGGGAATTCGAGCAGTCGCATTGAGGAGTTCCTCGACCACGCCCACAACAGTCTAGATGAATTGTGGCGCCTGCCCTACAATTATCCGCAGCAACGGATGACGGATCTGCTGGACATAATGGGCAATCGGTTGTGGGAGGCGTGTCTCCGTCAACTGCTCGCCGAAGAGGACATTTGGAGCCTGAACTCGTATAATGTGCAGAATGTGATGGGGCAGTGCATGGACACCATAGATGCCTGGATGCAGTTGTGCGACTCGTTGACGCGTCTCTTTTGGCCCAACTACGTGAAGCATCCGTGGCTGGGAGAACCGCATCTGCCGCGTCGTGGTCAGCAGTTCAAGGAGCGTCTCGGAGAGATTCGGAACATAAAACAACTGTATAAACAGATTGCCACGCTCCTCAACGATGCCGAGCTGCAGGAGATGTTCCAGGAGCAGGCAGCGTTTAGTGGTGAGAGAAATATTAAAAACTAGGGAACGCATGGAAGAATATATCTCCAAAGCCATAAAAATCATTCATAATCCCAGTAGATTTGCATATACCAATGAGTATAAGAATAATACAACATAAACTCAAACATTAACTCACTCTCACTCTGCCTCTTCCCCATCTAGATTTCAATATATTCGACACCTCGCCACCTGGTCAGGTGAAGTGGCACAAGGCGCTGCAGCATTTCGAGCAGGTGCTGCAGCCGATCGATGAGCGTATTGCAGCTGCTTTGAAGGCACAACTGCATCATCATTTGAGTAATCCACGCCAGGTCATTTTCATCTTCTCCAAATACGAGATGCTTATCCAAAGACCCGCTGTGCTCGAGCTGCTCACAATTGAGCGGGAGCAATTTCTGCAATCGTTGCAGTTACTGTTGCAGGATCTGCGCAAGGCGATGACGGATACGAATATGGAACCGGATACGGGTCATTTGTCGGTAATTTGCAACGAGTGCCGTTGGCTCAAAGTGGTGCAGTATCAAATCCAGGAGATCGAAAAGGTCAGCCATTTGATAAGCGGCCGTGAGGGTTTCGACAAGATCAACAAAGCGGTGCAGGAGATCAAGGAAGAGACCGAATCGCTGCTGCGCACCAATTTCGAAATCTGGTCGGGTCAATGCTCGACGGCTGTGAAAAGTGGCGAACTCAGGTGACCAGCCACATCAAATCTCCCCAAGAAATAAGAATTAACATTCAAATACTCCTTCCCATTCACAGACTACGTGACGATCAGGCCGTGGTCAAGTTCGAGAAGGAGGGTCGTCAGCTGATGCGTGTCACCTTCAATCCGAAGTTGGTCACCTTTTGCCAGGATGTGCGCGAATTTGAGAATCTCGGTTATACGGTGCCACTCGAGCTGCGCTCCGCAGCCACACATGCTGCGAAATATATGTGCTATGCTCGCCGATTGCAACAAATTGCCACGTTCCACAACACGATTGGGGATCGCATGATTCCCTGCCAGCGACCCATAATGCTGAAGAATGCGCTGGAGTTGCAGCGTCTGGTGCAAAGCGAAACGGTCGCTTGGCAGGATGAGGCGTCGGTGCAACGGTATGTGAACATCCTGCAGGAGGCAGTGTCCAAGCTGTCGGCGGATAATACGCTACTAGTCGGCTATCATGAGCAGGCCAAGCGAACGGTGCGTGGGTGTAGGGGAAACTTATCTTTATCTATGCAATAACTAACCCAACCTCTTCTGTCAGGTCATGAAACTGATGGGCACCGATCTGCTGACACAAAACCAAGTGTGGAAAGATGAGCTACGTCATCTACGTGAGCTGGTGGCGACGCTGGAACGCCAAGGCTACACCAATTTGGATGCCTTCAAGCTGCACTGGGATCATCAGCTGTACAAGGTGCTTGAGTATCAATATATACTCGGACTGCTGGACATGAACAACAAACTGCCCGATATACACATTAAGTTGCTGCTGCGTCAGCGCGAACTCTGCTACAGTCCACCGGAGGAGGAGATACGTGATGTCTACTTTTCGCAGCTGCGACGCTTCATTGAGAGACCCAGCAATTTTCATGGCCTATCCGAGCAGAGCACTCAGCTATTTCAGTCCATGGTGACGCTGAATCGCCATCACTTTGGACCGCTCTATGCGCGAGCTGCTCAACTCTTCGATAAGCTGGAGGAATTTAAGCTAATTTGGCTGCCCTGGATTGCGTTGGGCTGTGTGGATGTGGAACAGTTGTGTGGCATCCACTTGAACGAGGCCGACGATTGGGATCGCAATTTTCGTGCGTGCAAACAATTTAGTCAACAGCTGGCCAAGTTGCAGCAATCGGAGGAATCCATCGATTGCATTGTGATCAATGTGATGCCCCTGCGCTCAGATATTGAGTACCTGAGCAGACGCTACTGGGAGGCGTTGTCCAACAGTCTGCGGTCCTCCATCCTCAACGATGTACAGGCGGTGCAGGAGTTTTTGCAGAATGCGTTGCAATTCCTGCAGAATGTGCCCATGGACGAGGGCAGCATCAGTGAGTCGGGCATGAAGTATGAGAATATTATGCGCGAGTTGCCACAGATCAGTGGCACGTTGGAGTTGGTCCGGCAGAAGGATGCCTGCTTGGCGGGGTGGTGCAAGGAACGTGTGACCGCATTGGCCACGATTATGTTGCAGTGGGAGCAACTGCAGCCGCTGCTGGAGAATCATGCGGTCATCTTGCAGAGGCAGGTGGATATGATTAAGACGCAGGCGCACACTCAACTCCAGAATCTGCGCAACGAGGCGGAGAAGTTTCTGTTGCGCTGGGAGTCGACCATTGCGGAGCTGGAGGCCAATGAGTTGGCCGGCCTCGAACTCTTTAAGGAGCGACGCGCCCACTGGCAACAATTGCAGACGAAGAAGCAGCAGCTGCTCGACGAATGCCATAAATTCAATATGGAATTTCCCGCAGATGCACTGGCTCCCTTTGCTGCAATCGATGCCCAGTTGGAGGCACAGTCCCAGCAGTGGCAAACTTATGATGCATTCTTGGACGAACTGCAGCCCATACTTCAGGAGGAGTGGGCCATCTACAGGCGACGTCCGTACATTCTCAACGAGTTCATTGGCCGCTGGGAGGGCACGGTGCATGGCTCTATTGATTTACCTGCGAAACGCATCCGGCAACAGGTGGAACGTTTGCAGCTCACTTTGCCCATCCTCCAGCAGTTGCAATCGGATGCGTTGAGTGAACGTCATTGGGCGGCCATCTTTCACCTGCTGCACCGGCGTCAATCGAAGCCTTTGCATGCCATACAAGTGCAGGATTTGTTGGAGGATATGGATGCATTGCAGGCATCGGCCACAGAGATTGGGAGTATTGTGCGGCAGGCGGCATCCGAGCAGATTGTGCGGCAAGCTCTCGTCGAACTCGATCAGTGGTCGGTTACCGCCCAACTCAAGCTAATTGAGCGTACAGATGCCGCCGGGCAAAGCGTAGCGCTGATCAAGGACTATCAGGAGGTGCTAAACAAGATTGGCGACAATCAATCGCTGCTGCAGTCGGCCAAAAACTCGGCTGCCTTTGATAGCTTCTCGGATCAGGCGGGTCTCTGGGAGAGTCGTCTCAATACGCTCGATGTGCTGCTCAGCAGCTTAAGTCATTCACAGCGACGGTGAATTTTTCATCTTTTTTGACTTTCTTAATATCCATAAATACTTATTTATTGATATTTGTTATCCTTTTACACTATAGTTGGGTTTATTTGGAGCCAGTGTTTGGCGCTGGCACCTTGCAGCAGGAGCACGCTCTGTTCAAGCGCATCGACAAGGACTTTCGCTACGTTATGCGTGAGATTCAAATGGATCCACGGGTGACGGCTCTGCTTAAGATTAACAACATCAGCACCATTGTGAATGCGCTCGAGACGCAATTGGCGCGTTGCCAACAGAATCTAATGAGCTATATAACGGTAAGAGCAGCACGAATTGTGGAACCCTTATAGAAACACGAACTCAGCTTATAGATACATAGAAGGATTACAGATTGTAGTTTGCTCAATATATAAAAATAAGTTTAGGTTTCAAAAACCTGTGCTTCTTATTCAATCTTAATGATATTTGTACTGTTGATAAAGTTTCTTTGGCACATATCCGATCCACTTGTCTTATCTGTCTTTTTATAATTATTTAGATTTATTATATTATGCAATTATTAATTATATATTTAATTTTATTACTGCCTTTATAAATCATTCGTAGGACAAACGCAACTCGTTTCCACGTTTCTATTTCCTCGGCGACGACGATCTGCTGGAGCTGCTGGGTCAGGCATCCAAGGATGCGGACATCATTAAGCGACACATACGCAAACTCTTCCCCGGCTGTCACAGTCTGTCCATTGAGCAGGCGGCAAATGGCAATCACTATCGAATACTGGCGGTGCACAGCGCCGAGGGTGATGAGCTGCGACTAAGCCAAGCTGTTGACATGACCGGTGACATTGAGGTGAGTGCAACTAGTAAAATTCCAATGAGTTGAGAGCTGAGTTCTTATTCCCTCCAACAGCGCTGGTTAAATGAGCTCGTCGCCGTTGTGCAGGAGACGTTGCGTGGGCAGATTTACGAGTGCTACAACCACACCAATGGATCCAGCGATAATCTCAATGAGCAGCTACTACGGCAATATGCCAGCCAAGTTCTTGCCACCGCACGGGCGCTCCATTTCACGAGGCAAACGGAGAAATCAATTGGCAGCATGTCATTGGCTAAGCTGCAAAAGCAGTTGCAAGCTGAAATCTCACATTTGGTGGCCATGAAACAACAGTGTGACAGTTTGCACAGTCTTAAGCTAGGCGCTTTGCTGCTGGATCTGGTGCATTATGTGAGCGTTGTGGAGCAGCTGCAGCGCCATAATGTGATGCAAGCCACAGACTGGTATTGGCTGAGTCAACTGCGATATTATGTGAATGGGCAACGACAGGTGTTGGTGCGCATGGTTTATGCAGAATTTGAATACGCCTACGAGTTTCTCGGTCACGCCAACAAACTGGTACACACCCAACTGACGCACAAGTGTTATCTCATCCTCACCCAGGCCATGCATATGGGACTCGGCGGTAATCCTTTCGGGCCGGCGGGCACTGGCAAAACGGAGTGCGTCAAAGCACTCGGGGGCATGCTGGGACGTCTCGTGTTGGTTTTCAATTGCGATGAGGTGAGTGCTTTGGCTGCTTGCAATTTGTCATTTATGTTGTTTTGCTGTTTTGACAGAATGTGGACACCGAATCGATGAGCCTCATCCTTACCGGGTTAGCTCGCTGCGGCGCCTGGGGCTGCTTCGATGAGTTCAATAGGCTGCAGGAGGCAACGCTCTCATCCATATCAATGCTCATCCAGCCCATTCAGAGTGCGCTCAAGGACAAGGCGGACACTGTGCAAATTGGCGAGCGAAAGGTGAGCAAACATGATGGATGAACACCGTCAGCAGCTAAAGCAGCATCAAAAGTCCCAAATTCAAAGAATGATATATTTGCGCATAGCATTCAACTTAAAGTGTTTTCAAAAGTAGGTCAGCATAAAAAAGAGATTTGGACAAGCCACCAAAAACAGTGTTTAACAATATTGATTTATTTGAATTGTTAATTAATTTAAGCTGTCCACTTAACTTAAACTACTGATTAACTCTTCAAACAGGTGGAACTCAACCAGCACTGTGGCATATTTGTGACTTTGAATCCAGCAGGTGGCGAATACGGCGGCCGACAAAAGTTGCCGGGCAATATACAAGCATTGTTCCGGCCGATTGTGATGCAACAACCGGAGCCGGGTGAAATTGCACGCGTCATGCTGTTTGTGGAGGGTTTTGCGGCTGCCGCCAATATTGCTACGCGCATCGTCGAACTCTTCGATCTGTGCGGTAAAATGCTATCCGCCCAGCGCCACTACGATTGGGGACTGCGCGAACTGAAGACGGTGCTGCTCGTCTGCGGCGAGGGACTCCGCACACAATTAGCAGCAACCAGCCGCCAACAACAGCATAATGAACCTGATGGCAACGATGATGAATTGCGCATTGTTGTCCACTGTCTGCGCTCATCGACCATGTCCAAGTTGGCGCAGCAGGACGTCGAACGTTTCGAAATGTTGCTGCGCAATGTATTTCCGGAAATTGGTGACTCAATGGCACCGTTGACACCGCTCCGGCAGGCACTGGCCGCCGCCTTTGGGCCGCTCAATCTGAGCGCGAATGACGGGCAAATTGAGAAGGCATTACAATTGCATGAGCAGCTCCAGAAGCGCATGGGCGTTGTCCTCGTCGGCCCACCAGGCTGTGGCAAGTCGAGTATTCTGGCTCTGCTGCGTCAGGCGTTGACCGCAGCAACAACAAGTGGGGCCCAGCTGCGCGTACACACCATCAGTCCCAAGTCGATGAGTCGAGTGCAGTTGCTGGGACGACTGGACACTGATACACGGCAATGGCTAGACGGCGTCCTCACCCACACCGCGGTGCTCGTCAATCAGGAGCCGGCCCATGTCCATTCGTGGATTGTGTGCGATGGCAGCATTGATCCCGAGTGGATTGAGGCATTAAACTCCGTGCTCGATGATAACAAGTGAGTTAAAAAGCACTTTTTATCGCCTAGCATGTATATAGCAGCTGGGGTCAGAGTATCACCTAAGCAAGCTCTCCCGACGGTTTAGCTAGAGAATTTTTAAGTTTAAGCTAGAGATTATATCATGGATTAAGTTTATTCGCTATGATTAGAATCAGAAACGCATTTCTAGAGCAAAATCTCCTCTTCGGTATTTGAAATGTGTTCAGCATGGGAGTTAAATATCGTGGATGGATTTCTGAGGCATTCGAAGAGTTGACAATTTATATAAATGTTTATACATTTTTGGCATTAGATTAAAGTAAAAGTCATTTGAACTTAAATTTTTTTAGCAACAGCTTTTGCTAATATATTTTTTGCTCGTACTTGCGCATAAATTCGTAATAATTATTTGCGGCTTGCCATATATTTTCTATATGTATATCATATAGGCATATATGTATATATATATATATATATCGTATGGGGTATACAATTTTTAGACGTAGACATTATCATATATCGTATCTCGTATCTTAATGTTGCAAGTATTTTATTGTACGGATGGGCAAATGCCTATACCTATCACTTAGCTACCAAAAAACAAAGGACTTAAAACATAGAAATGCTCAAAAAACAGATGACATTAAATGAGGGAAGCCCGCTAAAACAAATAACGTAACGTAGTAAACGTAATACACAACGTAACGGCATTTTAGAAATGTCGCCAAAGAGTCTCTCTCTTTTCTTACATAGAACATGAGTTTTTCTTGTGAGTGTATGTGTGTGTGTTTATGAGTGTGCGTGTGTGTTTTGGAGAGAGTTGAGAGTGTTGTTGGTAGTTGCCTTGAACTAGTTCTTTTTTTTTCAAGTAACTTTCTGTTAAATATTTCCAAGTGAAAATGGATTTATTCATTTTTATGAATTGCCTTTTTTTTAAACTTGTTCTATTTAAAAATCAAATTGGCTTTATACGGATTCATTGATGGCTTGTATTGAAAACTTTCTATTGAACTTAAAACATATTCATTGATGTATTTTGACGAACTGGTTCTCTAGTTGAATGAACTGAATATTACTTAAAATCGAAATGATTTATATACTTATGCATTCATGTGTGACTTTATACTAGTTCTATTTTGTTTTCAAGATAGCTTTTGCCTTTTGAGTACATGCACATATCAGTAATACTTTGAGCTGGTTAGTTTTAATTCAAATTTGAAAACAATTCAAAATTGATTATAATTTCTATAAATCAATTTTTTTGTATATGAAAGAACCATATTTTACTTGATCTAAACAAGAGAGTTAAGTTTTGAGTGCTGTAAAGTCTCAACTGAATTTAACTTTAGGCATTAGATAAATATTAATGAACTGCAACTAGTTCGCTGACAAGACCAACTTGTGAGTACACTCGTATCACACTCTCCCCGCTGTGTGTAACTCTCTCCCCTCTCTTCCGCTTAAATAATAAGGATGAAAATGCGTATGTGGCTAGTTGAGCTTATGAACTAAAGGCGAGTGCATGAATCTCTCTCTCCTCTCACTGCTGCGCATGTTGCGGCTGCAACTGTTGCTGCGATGGTGCTGCTGGTGGCGGTGCTGGCTGCTGCTGTTGTTGCTGTGGCGGTGGCGGTGGCGGCAGCGTCACTGCTGTTGGCGGCGGTGGCAGCGGCGCTGCACGCATATGTTGCATGTGCGCCTGTGGCGCCATATGCTGAAACATGTTGCAATGCTGCTGCTGCTGCTGTTGCAAATGATGTTGCTGCTGCTGTTGTTGTTGCTGCTGCTGCTGCTGTTGCTGGTGTGCATTAAAGTGATGCTGCGCGGGATTGACATCGGCTGGCGTTTGCAAGATGATCTCCGGTTCGAGATTCAGCGCCATTTCGGACTCCTCTGTCTGGACGCCACGCAACGAGGCCAGCGCCGCTGCCTGTGCCGCAGCCACTGCTGAGGCAGAGCTGGTTGCTGCCGCTGCGGCGGCTGCTGCCGCTGCACTGAGGCTACTCACATCTTGGCCGTATTCCTGCTTGATGCCGTTCGGTGGCGCCGCATACAGTGTGGCGCCCAGATTCTGATGCAATATGGGATGGCAGAGTTGTGGCATCAACGTGACGCCGGCAATGGGCAACGCGGGATGACCAAAGCTGGGTGGCGGATACAATTGTTGCAGCTTATTCAACTGTTGCAGGTGCGTCGGCGTCGCATGGCCAGCGGGCGCTGACAATTGCGTCAGCGTCGCCGCCGATGTTGCCACATGCGACATGTTGCGACGACGATGTTGTTGCTGTTGCTGCTGCTGTTGTTGCTGCTGCTGCTGCTGCTGTTGCTGATGTGCCGCTGCAGCTGCGGCGGCGGCAGCAAGTTGATGTTGCTGCTGCTGCTGTTGCAGGTGTGTGTTGATTGGTTGCTGCTGCTGTTGTTGTTGCTGCTGTTGCTGCTGCTGTTGTTGTTGTTGTTGCTGTGTCTGCGGCGTCGATATAATCACCTCAGGCTCAACAGGCACTGGCGGTATAATTGAGGCAAATTCATGCGGCAATTGCGTAGCATCCGTCACCAGGAGTCCCTTCTTGCGCTCCTTGCGTATCTTATCGCGCAGCTTCTCCAGCTGCCTGAATGCCTCATTCGCACGTCGCGCCTTCTTCCGATCCCGATCGCGTTCCTGCTCCAAACGTCGATACTCGGGATTCATGCGTTTGATGCGCTTCCGTTCGCGATCCCGTTCGCGTTGTATCATTTTCTGGCGCAACTCCTCCTCGGGCGTCAACTGATAGTTGTTGGATGGGAAGAGAAGAAAAGAAACGGGGGGAAAACTTATTAAAGCACAATGTGGCTGACACTAACAATTGGGTTTATTTGTATTCCCTCTCTATCGCTCTCCCTTTCCCCGCTCACTTCCTTTCTCTGTTTGGAAAATTGGTCGATCAGTCTGTGTAAATAAGAAACTAAGTTGACTAATCTAAAACAAGCCCCATGCCCAAGCCCAGGTCCAAAAATACGATTTTCCTTCCAACTACTACTTAAGTGCTAGCTTTTTTTTATGTGTATATGTCTGTCTCAGTGTGGGTGTGTGTGTGTGTGGCGTGTTTATAATTTAGATATATATATAGAGATATTGGAAAAATGCTACGTTAGCACGTCGTGCCTTCTTGCGAAATCTATCGCGCTCGCGCTCCATTCGCCGATATTCGGGATTCAGTCGCTTGATGCGCTTTCTCTCTCGATCTCGCTCGCGCATGATGAACTTGTGGCGCGCCTCCTCCTCGGGTGTCATCAGCTGCAAGTAGAGATGAGAAGCGTGTTTTGGTTTTTTGTTTTTCTTTTTTTTTTTGTCGTTGTTTGAGAGAGCGGGCAGAGTTAGAAAACATTCCAAAAAAAAAAAGAAAAACTAAAGCATAGCTCGTAGGAGCCGCACTCGAAACGAAGTTCAAAAGAACAGAATAAAGGGCGTGGATTTGTTTTGTGGGTTGTGAAGTTTTTTAAGTCTAGAAGTGGTACTTTTGCCAGCTAATTTTACAGAAAAAATCTAGTTAGACTGGGAGATAAACTGAACCCAACCCAATTTCAACATGAAAAAATCGTTGTTTCTCATCCGATCTTAATGAAAATTTTACAGTTGAGCAATAATATGTCTGGGTATATTATATACCGATTGGAAGGCTATAAATTTACAATTTAATTGCTATTGATTTGTATCAATATTTTCAAGGGTTCGATAAAATGATCAAGCATCAGCGTAAGGCATACGAAAACTTATATTAATATTTTTAAGTCTGTCTATTTTAGTCTCTGAGTTGGGCTTTTTCTTACACACTGCGAAACACCCATGGCTAAGAAGGGTTTTCTTTTGATGCTGGTCAAGAATATGCGTAGTAAAATATAACTAATTTTTCATCCATTAGATGAATTAACGATGTGAAATCATCTTATAGCTTATCTCTTGTCCCCTGTTAAGACTTTTAACTACTGTTTCTAAATATTTTCTAATATTGTTTAAGAGTGAATTAAATTGAACATATCTTGAAACACTTTGCAGACTCTTAACGCTGCCCTCAGGCTGGCGCATACAGTTTGGCAACAATGTCAACTTTATATTCGAAACGGACGATGTGCGTCACGCCTCCCCAGCTACGATATCACGCATGGGCATTGTCAATATGAGGTGAGCCTAAAATAAAACTCTAAAAAAGTACTGCTTATATTTAATAATATACATTGCCACAGCTACGACTATTATCCTATGCAAGAAATGCTGAAGCATGAACTGGAAAAGGAACCTTATGGAGATCTACTACAAAACTATATAGATGGAAATTTCAGGACTGCTTTTGACTGGCTGGAAAGCGAACATTTGTTGAAGTAAGTTAGAAGAAATATTAAGCTTTTAGCAGGCATTTCTCATTAAGACAGGCAACTGATTAATTGTAATAATTATGACAATGTTAAATGGTGATAAATGTATAATGAATATCTAACATATAAGTTATATGAATCAGGAATAATGTCTAGAATACTACTCAACTAACAGTTCTTCATCTAATGCTCTCTTTTTCCCAACCTCTCCCCTTACAGTCAGATGCCTGGAATTAGTCGTGTCAGCTTGCTGCGATCGCTGCTGCTGCAGCTGCACAACAGTCAGTCACTGGAGGAGTATGGCGCGGCCACATTGCGAGCCCTGCTCGGCTATGTGCCCAGCGAACGGCAGCGGGAGTTTGCGCAGCTGGTATTGCAGCGAGCGAATCTCTATGTGGCTCAGCCGAATCATGCCGAGCTGAGCTACTACGAGCCGCAACGCAGTGCCCTCGAGCAGTATGCGGTGGGTGTGATTGACAGAGCCGAGACTCAGGATAGTCAACTGATTGTTACGGCCCATGTCAAGGCACATTTGGGCATTATCAATTCGTTGCTGGAGCAGCCGGCAAATCGAGCAACTGCCTTCATGCTCGTCGGACCGAGTGGAGCAGGCAAAACGCTGCTGCTGCAGCAGGCGCTGCAGGAGCACTCGGGCTATCAGCTGGCCAGCATCAATTGCTCCACGCAGCTAACAGCTGGCTATGTGCTGCACACGCTGCGGACGCACTGCGTCACTGTGAGCGGCGTTCGTGGACGCGAATATAAACCCAAGCAATCGCGTCTGGTGCTGTTTATGAAGAATTTGGATTTGTGTCAACTGGATGCTTGGGGTGCCTGTGAGATTGTGGAGTTGCTGCTGCAACTGGTGCAACGCGGCGGCTTCTATGCGGACAATCTAGAATGGATTAGCGTTAGCGGGTTGCAAATATGTGCGTCTATTAGCGGAAATTTGCTGAAAATTGCCCCACGCTATTTGGCCATCAATCAGTATGTGCGAGTGGGCAGACCAAGTGCCTCCGATATGCTCGCAATTGTTCAGTGCCGCCTCGAGCCATTGCTCCAGTCTCATTTTAGGACAGGGGTCGGCAGCAATCCCATCAATTTGCAGCATGTCAGCGAGTGTCTAATGGAGTGCTTCGACAAGGTAACGAATTTGTCCATTATGTGGAGTACTTTTTGCTCTTTGATGATGCGCTTTTGTATACCCTGTGCAGATGGTATAAGTAACTTTGACTACATGTTTCTATATGTTTGTTTCTATATACATTAAGATTTAAGATCTTATTTTCGTATCCTTGTTTTAAGGATAACTTAATGCAACTTCTCTTAGATATATCATTGAGTATATTTCTTTCTATATCGGCTCGTCGATAAAGTCCGGAGAAGTCCTACTTTCTTGCTAACTTGATAAATCAGTCTGACTGAAAATTTTGGTTTGCATATATATGTTTGATGAGTATAATCGGCCTAGTCTATAATCTCCCTTCACTTCCGTCCGACTTTCTCCCATAATTAAATCTATCTTTTAATTTCTCATATAGCTGGCATAACCATAACTAAAACTCAATCACCAACAAATATTTAAACTACATTCAACGTCTACTAAAAGCTTGCCAGGGTATTTAAACCTCTACAGCCCAAAGTTAAAACTAGCCTCTGGTTTTTCTACCTTTTAGCTGCAGGCATCTTTTACCGCCTCAAGTGGTCAGCAGCAGCAGTTGCATTATCAGTTTAGTCCAAAGTGCATTATGAAGCTATTGGAGGGTCTCGTTTACTACCCGTCGAGTGACTTCAATGAGGTAAGTGGCTTTAGTTCGACTCCTAATGGAATTGCCAATTGACAATTTTGGTGCACTTCATTCCCACAGGCCTTGTATTGCGAGCTGCTGGGCATGTTTAGGGATCGATTGGCCAGCGAGGAGCATGTGCAGCAATTTGAGACGATTTTAAAGCAAACAATGCGCAAATACTTTGGCAAGGAGGTGTGTGCTAATTGAAAGTCGTTCTCTTTCTCACTATATATGTGCTTGTTAATTGTTTTACAATGTTATACAGAAAGTGTACTTTGTGCCCAAGTCGCCTAAATCGAAGGGACAACTGCACGGATTGTCTCACGATGAGTGGCTGGAGGAAGTACAACGTCAAATAACAATATGCAGTGAGTTAAGCGAACTGAAACAGTGAATTACTTGTTTAGTTTTTTAAGGGTTTAGCTATAAGTTCTTTTCTTTTATGTAATCAGAAGTTCAGGATAAATGTTCTGTATCTTTTTTGATTTTGATACCCTAAAGAAATACTTTTTATACTCTGTCCTTGTATAATCTTCCACAATTTTGAGTTGAAACTTGTTTTTATCTGTGAGTCTTAAATTACTAGGCAACCTTTGATCTATTATAAAATTCGTTCTTACCCTGTACTGACCCAAATTTTAAACATATCCATATTTATAAGGAGGAATCGTTTGTATGTATTTGTAATTTTTATATTGCTACGTTTATCAAGTAGGAAAGTCCTGAACCACTAATAACACTTTCTAATCCGTCCAGTTTATAAACACAGAGCTTTCTTATTACATCCCACGCATCGAAGTTGAAGTTGCACATTACCCCGAACTATTAAAGAGTATATATCTTTATCTATATGTCCCTTTAAGTTATGACTTTAGCTGTTTCAAGATACGAGCAGTTGTTGTGAGTAGTGAAAAGGGTTTGGGGGGTTGGTGGGGGAAAAAAAACAACAAAAATGAACACATTATGAATCGGGATAACTACACTGGGCCTTGGCGTCTGTTTGCGAAATCGATCCCGTTCCCGTTCCATTTGCCGATACTCGGGATTCATGCGTTTGATGCGCTTTCTCTCCCGGTCCCGTTCCCGCATGATGAACTTTTGGCGTGCCTCCTCTTCGGGGGTCATCCACTGCAAGTATATAGAGAACGGGTAGAAAATAACAGAAAAATGTTGCCACTCACAAAGTGAAAGATGAAATTTTGTGTAGCTAATGCGGAAGTCAAAGGAATTTACCTGGATTTTATGTTCCTTTTTTTTTTTTTTGGAGTCAACTTCAATGACGATGCGCGGAGAGCTTTTATAATAACTATTTTAAATGTGCTGTGTGTTTAATATTGTCTGCTCAATGCTATGAACATAGTCTTCTGCCTAATCTATAATATGATCTTTCTCAATCAGATGCGGAGAGCTACAACATAACTTCTCCCATTACTGAGGAGTTGCTGCAGTATTCAGCAAAAGTGGCACGCATCCTCGCCCGCAACGATGCACATTTGCTTGTACTGGCGGAGGCTGGCGATCGCCATGTGGATGCCATTTATGCAGCTGCCACACTGCAACAGGCCAAAGTGCTCAGTCTGCAGGGTGGCGCCACTTATGCTCTGACCGATTTCTACAACGATCTCAAGCTGGTCATGCAAACAGCGGCGCTGGAGCAGCAGATGAGCTATCTGCTCATCGAACACTGCTGGCTCAGCTATGTGCCGGACATCTTGAAACCCATTGAGGCGTTGCTCGAGGGCAGTGAGATCTTGGAGCTGTTTGGCGATGATCTGGAAACCGTAGCCAGCACACTAAAGCAGGCCGCACAGCTGGAGGGCTATCAGGAATCACTGGGCGCCTACTTTATGAAGCGTAAGTGGTGTGGATGGAATGGATAGAATCAAAATAATAATAAATCATAGCCATGGATGTCTTACAACTGCAAACATCTTTCATCTACTGATTTATGAAGATGAGATGATGATGATGTTTTAATTTAATATGATTGATAATCCCACTTCTATTCAATTGCATAACAAACTATCTGTATTATTTAATAATTTTTAAACTGATCTCTTTAAAAAAATATGTATTATGTTCATATGATCAATAATCGTTATTCTGTTAAAAATTATATATTCTCTCTTCTCTTCAATTGCAGGCGCTCGAGAGCATTTGCATTTGATACTCGTGCTGGATCCGAGCAGTCCCCAGCTGGCGGATTACTTCAACAGTTGTCCGGCATTGCATCGACAAATGGATATACTCTATGTGCGCCCGGAGTCGCGGGAAACGCTCTCGATGCTGCCCAAGCAATTCATTGAGCTGCTCAATGAGGTGTCGTCGATGGGAGTGGGACGTGGCAAGGTGCCCGTTTGCAGTCACTTTGCGGACGTGGCCGAGGAGTTGCCGCCGGAGCAGCCTGCTCAACGCTACTATCAGCTAATCAGCAGTTATTTCTATCTGTACAGCAATGCGGCGGCCGAGATTGATCAGCGGCTGGGCAAGTTGCAGTTGGGCGTAGATAAACTGGCAGCTGCACATGCTCTTGTGGACACGCTCAAATCGAATGCATCGGCCCAGGAGCAGGCACTGGGGGAGAAGCGGCAGCTGGCGAATGATGCGCTGCAAATGATCTCGGCCACGATGCACAATGCGAATGAGCAGAAGTCGAGCATGCTGGAACTGAAGCAACAGACGCAGCAGAGCAGTGAGCAACTGAAGCTGCGACAACGTGAGATTCAGCAAGAACTGGCCGAAGTGGAACCCATTCTAGCGGAGGCTAGCAATGCAGTGGGTCAAATCAAATCCGAGGCACTCTCTGAAATACGTTCACTGCGTGCTCCGCCCGAGACGGTGAGGGATATTCTCGAGGGTGTGTTGCGATTGATGGGCATCAGGGACACCTCGTGGAACAGCATGAAAACGTTTCTGGCCAAGCGTGGCGTCAAGGAAGACATACGCTCCCTGGACCCGGCACACATCAGTCCCGAGAACTGTCATGCCGTCGAGCGATTGCTGCAGGCCAAAGGTGATTCTTACGAATCGAAGAATGCGAAACGTGCCTCGGCTGCAGCTGCGCCACTTGCTGCTTGGGTGCAGGCCAGTGTTCGCTATGCGCGTGTCATCCAATCCATCAAGCCGCTGGAGCGGGAGCAAAACGAACTCCAGCACAATCTCAATGCAGCCGAGGATGAGATGCAGCAGCTCGCCAGCGGATTGGATGATGTGGACAAGCGGGTCCAGCAGCTGTCGGCCAAGTTGCAGACATACACGCAAGAGGCAGCCGTGCTGGAACTGAAGCTACAAGAGGCGGGCGCCACGCTTCAAGCAGCCGAGCTCCTCGTGGGCAAACTGAGTGCCGAGTATGCCACCTGGAGTGAACAGCTGGCGGAACTGAAGCGTGCGCACAAAACTCTGGATGGCAAAACACTGCTGCTCGCCTTGGCCATCAACTACTATGCGGGCAGGGGCGTGGAGCAACGGGGGTGAGTAATATGAGTGGTGCAGTGGTGGCAGAAGAGAAAGATCAAAAATCCGATTAAGTAAAGACTAAGGAATCTATTATAGAACCCTTTTTCACCCATTATCACAGCGGGTGGAACTTTAAAAGCAAATTGCTTATGAAAATTCTAGAAGAGAATACAGCTGAGTTTCTGCAACGATAGAATTTTAGTCTAGATCTCTTATATAATCTAATCTATTCCCCTATCACTGCCATCTATCTGCCTCTTCTTTAAATAGACAACTCTTATATTTATCTAATCTTTTCCTCTCTTCATTAAATGTACAACTCTTATATTAATCTGCCGCCCTTTTACAGCGCTGCGTTGAAACGTCTCCACGCGGAATTTCAGCTGCCCGGAACCAATTTTGATCTGCGTCAAACTCTGGTCACCGAGCAGCAGCAGATCATTTGGGAGAGTCAGGGATTGGCACGCGATGCGCAGATCATTGAGAGTGCTGCACTGCTGCGAGAGATGCTATCGCTGCCCTTTGGCAGTTGTCCCGTTCCACTCCTGCTCGATCCCACCCAGACGACGGGACAGTGGTTGACAGCTCATATGAAAGCGACGGGCAGAGCCAGTGAGCTGACATCGCAGGCCAACGAGAGACTTGGCTATCAACTGGAGTTGGCTGTGCGCTTTGGCAAGACGCTGCTCGTGCAGGACTGTGAGCAAGTGCGTCCGCCGCTGCTCGAGCTGTTGCAGGGACACATTTATGTGCGTTTCAACAAACGCCAGCTGGCCGTGGGCAGTAAATTGGTGGATCTGCACGAGGACTTTCAATTGGTGCTCATCAGCAAATCGCATCGTTTGCAACAGTTGCTGGCTGTGGAGCAGCGAGGCAGGGTGAATCTCTTGCGATTCACAGTCACCGCAACGGGACTCGCCGATCAACTGCTGTCCAAGGCGATTGTGCTCAAGAATGCCAAGCTGGAGGAGCAGAGAATTGAGGTGCTCCAACGCGAGGGTGAGCTGCTCAAGCAGCGTATGGCGTTGCAGGATAAACTGCTCGAGCAGCTGTCCAAAGCCGAGGGAGACATACTGCGCAATGAACCACTACTCGCCAGCCTCAATGAGGTGAAGTTGAGCAGTGCTCAAATCGATGCAGCTCTCGAGCAGAGTGGACAAGTCAAGCAAACACTGCTCTCGGAATTCGCTGGCCTACGTGAGTTGTGCGTTCGCGCAGCGGATTTCTATGCGGGCTTAACGCAGGGCTACGAACTGTCCGCCTTGGTGTACATTGAGCTCTTTTTGGGCGCACTACGTGGCCAGGAGCCACAGGAGCCACGATTGCTGTACGAGCGTCTCGTGCGCAGTGTTTTCCTTCATCTCGCGCGAGCCATTCAACGGGAAACTCAACTGACTCTGGCGCTGTGGGTTTGTCGCCAGGCATACGGATCGTCAATTGGGGCCAAGGAATGGGAACTGTTCGTTGGCAATTTTATGGGCAGTGCCGATGGCAGCATCCAATTGGGTGGAGCAATGCCCGATTGCATGAGCCGTGAGGCACAATTGAAGCTGGCGCTGTTGCTGCAACAGCTGCCCGAGTTGCGTGCGCAACTGCAACTGGACAAGGATTATGTGTGGCGAGGCTTCCTCGAACAGCAAACGGACGATGTGCTGCGTATGTAAATCATATTAATTGTTGTATTTATAATTTTGTTTTGTTTTCCTGTTTAAGTTAATTAGTTTCACTATATTTATAACTTAATCGTTTGCCCTTCTGCCCACAGCTAATATCAAAACGCCCTTTCACCGCGTGCTCCTGGCTCAAATCTTTCGACCCGATTTACTGCTGCCACAGCTGCGTTTGGCGAGCAGCCAATTGTTGGGTTTAGCTCCCGAGGCAGCCACACAGCCAAGTGTGCAACAGCTGCTGGAGCAGAGCAGCTGCGACAGACCCATTCTAATGATCAGTCAGCCCGAACTGGATCCGGCAACAGAACTGCGAGGAGTGGCACTAAAGAAATGGGGCACAGAGAAATATGTCGAGTTGGCAATTGGCAGAGGCAGCGAACAGAGAGCGTTGATGGCGATGCGCGAGGCAGCCGCCAAAGGACAATGGTTGTGTGTGAAGAATGTGCATTTGGTGCCCAATTGGTTGGAGCAAATGGATCAACTATTGGGCGAACTGAAAAAGTCAGCCGACTTTCGGCTGTGGCTGCTCTGCGAGTCCACAAGGGGATTCAGCGAGGCAACCATCTATAAATGCCTTCAAGTGCGCTACGAGCAGCCGCACGGACTCAAACAGCAACTGCAACGCATGCTACAAAATTACGCCGGACTCGAGGCGGAGACTAAGCAATCGGCCAAGTGCTTAAAGATGCGACTGGTTCTCTTTCTGCTGCACGCTGTGTTGCAGCAACGGCGCCAATATATACCCCAAGGATGGTCCAAGTATTACGAGTTTGGTGAAGCGGATCTAAAGGCGGCGCTGGGCGTGCTCAGCTGGCTGGACGCACAACTGGCGAGTGGACGCTGCGATTGGACAATAATGCAGCGTCTCTGCGAAGCAATCGCCTATGGCGGCAGATTGAATAATCCCAGGGATTTGGATATATTGCACACTTATCTCTCGCAATTCTGTTGCGCCGATGTGCTGAGCAATCGCTGGCAACCGTTGGGTTTGAGTTACTGTCAACTGCCCACCAGTTCCCAGTTGCAGGATTATTATGCAGCAGTCGAGAAGTTGCCCGAACAGGATGAACCACGTCTTTATGGATTGGCTAACCAGGCGCAGCAGCAGCGTGAAATGGAACAGACGCGTTGCATCATAAACGAGCTGCGTGCATTGCACTATGGAGGAGTAGGAGGAGGAGCAGGTGAAGTGGCAGCTGCTGCTGCTCCCAATTCCCGACAACGTCTCGAACAGCAAATCAAACCGTTGCTCAGCTTGTGGCGCAAGTTGGCCACATCTTGTAGCATCACACAGACTGCCAAGGAGGCGGCAGACACAGTAACGCCCACTGCCACTCCTACGCCCTGGACACTATTCGTGCACGCTGAGCTGCAGCTGGGCGCCCAGCTTTATAGAGCAGTGCATCAGTTGCTCTCCCAGCTGCACAACTGGCTTAAGGAGACTGCGGCGACAACAGCAGCTGGAATGAATGCTTCTCCAGCGGATGTCGATGCACAAACAATGCAGGCACTATCGGAGCAGCAGGTGAGCATGCGATGTGGGATGAGAGTGGAGCAGGGAGAGAGAGAGTTAGATTGGGTGGTAATTGTAGAGATGGCCACACTTCGGTTGCACAGTTCGTAATTGAAAAATAACCTGTTTCTATGTGGAATATACAAAGTTTGTAATTAGCATAGAGTATATTGAAAATTTAAGAATTTCCATTTAATAACTCTCTGAGATTTATAAATATTTATATTTTAATATATATATATATAACTTAGGATTTCTGGGAATGAATTGCAATAGCTGTCTAAATTGCAGAAACGATATAATCAAATACTCTCCAAATCTAAGATCTCTCTAATTTATGCTTAAAGGTACTGAAAGTTGGAAGAACAAAGCAGTATATTTATGTAGGTAGATAGAAGAATGAGAACAAGATCTCTGAGTTTGATAAACACACACTCCAAATCTATGATCGAATTTCAGACATTTCTGAGAATCGAATAGTAAGAAACTTGATGTATTTTTGAGAAATTTTTAAGGTTAGAAGAACAAGGAAATATCTTTCATTTGAAATATAAATGTATTAAGACAGATAAAAGAATATGCCAATAACAACATATATATTTCCTTTCAAGAGACACGTTTTTAAAAAATGCTAAGTGATCGATTTCAATTTCTGAATTTCCGCTGAATGGATAATATCCCTTTTTTAATTTCCCAACGATCACTCAAAATATCCCATAACCATAATTTTCCCCTTCTCCATGCAGGTGCCGCACAGCTGGGCGAAATTGTGGCCAGGGCCAAGCAGCAAAAGCGTCGTGGATTACTTGAGGGGTTTGATGGTGCGAGCGGAAGCGGCGGAGGAGCGTTTCAAGGGGCAGCTGCAGCTAGATTTCGGTCGGGAGGTGAATCTGGTGCAAGTGTACAACTGTGAGAATCTGCTCGCTTGCCTCAAATTGCAGCAGGCGCGCAATTTTGGCATCTCCACGCAGCGATTGCAGTTGAAATCCAAATCAGCGACAGCAAATGAGATGAATCCAAAATTATTGATGCTCAAAGTGGCTCCATTAAAGGTTAAATTCTTTATTTTATGCACGAAATGAAAATGCCTCTTGTCTGCCTGTCCGCCTGTCTCGTTGTCTCTCTGTCTGTCTGTCTGTCAATCAGCGCAGCTGTCTCTTTTCTTGCGAGTCTTTTGTCTCTTTTTTTCTTGCGTTTGGATTTTTTTGTGTTCTGCTTCTTTTTTTTGTTTGCTTACCTTGCCCATCTTGGCCATAAAATGCGTCTCCAGCTTGACGGTTGTTATAGCGTTTAGCACTCGCTTTGAATTGTGTTTTGTGCGTTTTTATTTACAACATTTACGTTTGCATTTGCATTTGTTCAATTTTTGATATCGCTGCAGCTTTTTTCGCCTTTTTTTCACGCCGCTTCTTTTTGTTTATTTGATTGACATTCCGGCGCTCTGTTAACTCCAGGCACCAGGGCTGCACAGCAAGTGCTGTTGCTGTTACCACTGATTTCGAGTATTTTACGAGTAGTGACAGTACACTTTTGTTTTACATGCACACTTAATGTTTATTTAGCTTGCACTTGCTTGTTTATTCTTATAACTATTATTTGGGCTTATCTGAATATTATTTTCGTATTTCTTTTTAATCAGCTGCGCTTGTCTTTTGTTTTGAACTGTGTTGCTCCACACTTTAAAGTATTTCGGTGCATTAACGTGTGGAGCGCTGTTATGTGTACAGTTCGTTGAGTGAGTATGCACTTTCGTGAAGTGAGTAATTTCGTCCAGTTGGTTACTGCACAGACTAACGCCCAACGTGCTGGTCTATGTCCAAACTAAATGAAACGAAAAAACGAAAATTAAAACTATTAATAATAAATGAACTATAAAATTTATTTCAAAACACATGCAGCTCGACGGAGACACACAAATACCAAATGCAAGTGTATCGAGTGCATTCTTCATCAGCTACACAATCAAAGATGAAGAGAACGAACTCAATGCACGCGCTGGCGATAAATTCAAGAAAATCGAACAGTTTGCCAGCAATCGATATCAAACCGATGAGATAATTTCTCTTCCCCTATATAGCAGGGCTAAAAGGGATAAACTCATCTGTCAGCTGGAACTGAAGTTGGGTGGCTCCGTCAACTCGGAACAGGTTCTTTTAGCCGGAACTGCTTTGATCGTCGACGACTATTGAAATCGATTTATTTCCACTGGAATTCATCCCAACATAATGAATCGATAATGTAAACGAAAAGACAAATAAATAAATAAATAAAAGCGAACAAAAATAATAGAGATAAATCCATATCTGATAAAACTACAAATTTTGCTTTATAACTGTAAAATTAAGCTTATTTTTTTCACTTTGAAATATTGCCTACTTTATGATTTTCGAGTTATATCGATCCTTTTAGCAATTGACCTTTCGATAAATTGCGATTCGATTATTGATAATTATGATTTATGAGTTTTGAGTAAAAGCATTTCAGTCATAAGACTATCGATACTTTTACCAAACTCGATATTTGATCGATTTAGCTTTCCTTCTCGATAGATTCAAATTTGATACTTGACAAATTTACATTTCCAGCGATAAGTCGCAGTTTAAATAACTGATTTGTGTCTATGTCGATTTATGCCATTCACATTGAAACGTTGCCATTCAAACTATGAGCATTCATTTTAAATGATTTAGTTTTGAAAGATTTGGCAAACTATTATTTATTTTATATTTATATTTACTTTTAAGAGTTTATTTTTGTAATCAAAAACTTATCCAATTTTTGGGCATTCTCAACTGTCGTTTAAAAGTCATTTAAAAATAATTTATGCACAAACTCTAAAGTGCTAATAGCCGTCAGATGTGCGAAAGGGAGGAGGATGGAGATAGCCAGAGGGAAGGGTAGCAAAGAGGGAGCGAAAGGGGGCGAGACATGTTTTGAGTCATAATCGAAACATTTCAACAAACTGCTATCAAACATAAAACAAGAAGAATCAGAGTGTCATAAATGTTTTTGGGGCACAGTTTTACATGCTCGCTTCCCAAATAGTTGTTGAGATGTTTTCTTCCCCTCTCAGGAAGTTTTCTAAGTTTAATTAAGTGGCATTATGTTCAATTAGGCAAAAGTTTCGAATATGCAAATTAACACAATTTCTGCTCGAAAAGTGCTCTAAAGCGATGAGGAGGGGGGCATTTGGCATGTGGCATGTGGCAGAGGGAGCCGGTGGGGCAGGCTTAATTTCTGTGGCAGACAAATTGCTTTTTGTGTGCGTACATTAGAAAAACACAAATCAAAGGCAAATGACAAAGCTGCAATTACAACAGCAACAACAGCAACATCAGCAGTCGCTCCTAAGAACAATACAGTGGGCGTGGCAACAGTGTAAATAATTCTCTGTCAGATTTTAGGTTTTTAGGCAATAAATAAATTAATATATATTTCCATGCAAAACGATTCAAACAAAAGGCAACCGGAAATTATTGCTTTAATTTTGGGTTAGGGTTTTTCCACAAATAATTCACTTTCGATATTTTGCGGCGCATTATTGCAAATGACTTTTGAATGCTTGGGTTTTAGGTACGTTTACTATTTAATTGAAGATTTATAAATTGCCATAATTAATTGCCTGCCAAAATTATTTGTGCAAAGTAAGCAATTATTAAACTATATTATAAATTACATATCTTGGTTCGAATCCTGAACCCATTCAAAATGGCAAAAACTATATATTAATGCCGCGCAAAAGCTTATCGCCGATAACAGACTTGTTTCGACTTTAGACTATCGATAAAACTCGATTACCGATAGTAATAAGAGACATTATTTGAAAGATATGTGTCAGACATACTAAGGTTTATTTTCTTCTTTAACGCTATCTTGAAAATGTTTACTATTTTAATTTACTATATTTTTTAAATTTAATTTAATTTATTTTATACTCTTTGTATTTTTTTCGACTGACATTATATGAAAATAAATAAATATGGCATATGAAAATAAACACAAAAAGCACAAACGCATGAGAAATAGAGATTCTGCTAACACAAAAGTATTTTTATAATGAATAAATATTTAAAGGGTATCTCTCCTAGTTGACCTCTCTTTACTAGCGCATTCTAATTTGCTTCAGTCTTAATTTAGCCATATAAAGCGAAGAACATAACTTAAGCAATAATTTAAATTCGCTTCTAACTTAACTAAAAACTAATTCGCTCAAACTTTACCAATTGAAAGTTTTAAGTATAGTTTCCTATATATTGCATATATATCTATGATTTAATTAAACAACCGTTCTATAAACTCTATTAAACTATCACTCGGGGCTTAGTTATGGGTACCCCACTCCACTTCCCTTTCTTCCCAAGCCTCGAAAGGAGTTTGAGATTTGATTGTTACTCAACTTTGATGATTAAATTGGAGATGTCTAATTAGAATTTGATAGGCGTGGTGTGTGTTAGTGTGTGTCTGTGTGTGTGTGTTGACGTTTGATAAATGCATGGATGGTACAAATGGATATCCATTTAATCCTTGGAAGACAACAAGCAACCGAACAGCTGCCTCTAATTGCAGCAGTGCCCCTAAACTTCAATACCAAGGATTACAAATTAATTAAAGTATAAAGCATTTCCGACATTTGCATAATGTGTGTGTTCAAGTGTGTGTGTGTGTGGGTGTGTTTGTGTAATGCTCTTGTCTGTTTGACATCTTGGGTCACGTTTACTTTGGCAGGTCCTGGCCAAGCACCAAGACACTTGCCATAATTGTTAGACCCGCCATATGTGATTAATCAGCGCTGTTCTCCCTTCCACTTGAATAATTCCATTTCATGTTCAGTTCATGACACATCCCCACAAATACATTTCAATTGTGCGGGTTGCTCCACTAATTGGTCAATTGAGCGTGCTGAGAGAGGCCCCAAAGTGGCCAGAAGCAAAACTTTTCTATTGGCCTGGCCAGAACTATTAGACTTAAACTTGAGCTTAAGCTTGAGCCCAACTATCTGCTCTCGTTGCTTTTGATTAGCCAACCAGAAGTTAAGCTATAAACTACTTACATCAAGGGCTATCAATAAATTCAGATAATTAAATTTGACAAACTTTATTATTGAACTTTACCAAGAATCCTCTTAAACACAGAAGCATATATTTGAGAAACATCATATTTTTACATTTTGTTGACTTATCCGGATCTCATTAGACTAGCGCAATCATCTGAATTCCCTCTGCATGCGCTTCTGACGACCAGCACCCAATCTAAGTAAATAAGTTAATTAATTAATTTGCACATTATTCATAGAATATTTGATGTTCTTTACTCTGATTGCCTCTGCATCTCTGAAATCTCATTACGCACTCACTAAAAAAAGTGCAAGTGCTGGTTACAAAGCCACGCCTCCATCTTGCGCAAATAGCCCCATGAGGCGCGTCCTGACAACTAGTGAGGCATTTTTGCACTGGAGACCTACTGCTGTCAACAGACAGGGCGCAGAATCCAACAATGAGCATCAGAAGAATTGTTTGGGATCCCATTTTGAAGGCAGCGTAAAAGTTTCTTGTGTAGCTACTGAAGCGTTGGCAGTGTCTTATATAGAGCCACGATCCACTCGAACTTCGTGTACCTTAACAATAGTAAGCAAGTGTTGCATAAATAAATAATACATCATAATAAGAGGCAAAGACAATATTAAATGGAGTAAAATACGACTTGTGAAACATTTATTGTTAAACTTTTAACAAAAATCAAAATGGGGGCAAAAATAAAGAAAAAATAAAAAAAAAAATAAAACGGAATAAGTTTTCTTTAGTTCAATTCTAGTCAATGCAATATTATTGAATTCAGACACGTTGTTTGTCTTCCTGTTATTGAATTCGGTTTTGATTCAACTTGAATTTGCAGTAGCAGCTGAAAACTAATAAAAGTATATAAAATTCCCAGCAGCAACAGCTGTACAAATAAACACTAAAACACCTGTGGCGCGCTGCGATGTGGCAGCAGCTTCTTCAGTGGTTGGCAACAAGTCTGTTTCCATAGCCACAACTGGTTGAAAAAACTGGCATATATTTAACTTATATTAATGTAATTATTTTGAAATTGAATTCATCTACTGAATTAACTAGACCATCAGGGCGCTGCAGTCATTCGTAGTCCTTGTGCACGCAAATTGTCTGAGCAGCTTCCAATCTGAGTAAATTAATTTATAAACTTTTAAGTTATTCATTAAGTATGTTTTTGATTACCTTGATTTGTTCTGCATCTCTGAATTCTCAGCATGCACATATTCCTAAATGTGCAGGTGCTGGTTACTGTGCCACGCCTCCATCTTCCGCAAACAGCCCTCGAATCCCAGACGGTGCAAGCATTGCGGCATTTTTCTAATGACCTGCTGCAGACACCGTTCAAGACGCAGAAGCCAACAGCGAACAGCAGCAGAACTGTCTGGAAGCTCATGTTGAAGACAGTGCTCGAAGTAGACACTGTAATACCTTGACAGTTCCTTATATAGTCCCATTATCACCCCCAACTTCCTATATAAATATTTATTCAAATCAATAATACAACTTACTAAAATGCGGAAGACAATGTTAAATGAAATGCAACAAAGCAGCTGCAAAAAGTTGCCAGATGTTAAGAAATGAACACAAAAAAAGCGCAATTAAACATTCTAGTCAATACAATAAAATTTTATTGAATTCAGATATGCTGCGACAATAAAGCAATTTACTTTTTGGCTTCCGAGCTATTCAGCTCGATTCTGGATACACTGTCTTCGGCTCAACTTGAATTTGCAGCAGCAGCAGTAAACCAACAAGAGGAAACATTGCAATCGGGAGTAATCGACTTAGATATACTTTGATAACAAGTTTTGTGACTCTATCTTTAGGATTGTGGAAGATTTGCGTATTTATCGATTTATTCTTTCAGAAATATCGGCTTTGTTTCGGTTCTTAAAGGCGGCTTCCAGTAGCATACATACGAAATTTGAAGATTCCAATTGAAAAACTGCGGCGGATATAGCCATTTAAAGCTGGGGGTCTGGGGTTGCGGGGGAGGGCATGGCATACGCCGATCTTTGAAGGACATCGTCAACAATCTATCAAACAAATTGGAGACTGTACCCTAAAATATTGGGAAATATGCAATTATCGAATCCTCCATGCACATCCTAGCAGAATGTGTCACCTTAACTAGAAGAAGACGCAGCATCCTAGGGATGCATGTTTTGAATTCCAGAGACATAGAAGAACTCAATCCAACAAAGATCCTTACATTCGTGG